GCTGGATGGGAAGTGGAGCAGTCAGGACTCAAGCTTGTGCCCATAAGGGATGCTGACACTGCAGGCTGTGGCTTAACCCACTATGCCACAGCACTAGCCCTAAACCTTGTATTTTAGCTAGCCCCTCTGACACGGTTGCAATAGTATAAGGTGTGATGCTACCCCATTACTTCTAGGTGGAGAAAAATTTGTTTCTCTACTTGACCTGAGTTGATACGTGATACAGGAAAAGACACCCTGTTGCTGCTGAGTCTGGAATGGGAGTCCTGGCCCCCCCCAGACATGTGCTGGTACCATCTTGGCTGGAAGGGACAGGAATGTTTCCATACCGCCCAGTGATATTCCTGGGGAGGGCCTCATTATTGTCTAAGAGGAAAGAAAGTCTGAACTTCTGATTTAGCCTTATAAGACAGAATCCCGATGAGGTTTGGAGCACTGTGTTAAAGCCTGGCAAGTATATTGTCTAAAAATATTTTGTCTTACAAGACTGTTCTTTTCCTAACCCTATGGCTAATTGGGGGTAGGCTCCATGGGTGTCTTTTGTCTGCTTCTGTTGGCATTTCCGGGTTGCAGGGATATTCAGGTCCAGGTCTACAGTGTTTGAGTCAAAAAGAAATCCCAGGAAAGCCATCATCTTTTTCCTTGGGTCCCAAAGGCCCTAGATAGGCTGTTTTCTGGTTTTCTTGTGTTTGTTTAATGGTCAATATCTAGGTTTTTTGTTGTACTTAGAGGAGTAAAGCAAAGTACCTCAGCTTCCCAAAAAAGGAAGTTTTAATGAACCATTTAGTTTTGCAATTAGAAAAAAAGTGTATGTTTGTGATGTATGATTTATGTGTGCATGCATGTGTATAGATAAACACAGATTTTTAGCAAGTGCTGCAAAAGTCCATCAAAAAGTCTGCTACTAAATGTATATGATGGAGATAGTTTCTTTACAACAAATACCTTTACCTCTGTAAGGTAATATGTATTTATGTGGTGGCACATTTCTTGTAAAACATAGTTCTTACTATGTTTATAGTCTGTGTCAATTTTCTTAGAGTTCGTGGAAATACCCAGTCTTTCTGTGGTGGAGAAAACCACTTTTTGTTTCCCACAGTAACTTATTTCCTGATAAGGAAAAAGGCAAAGTTGTATTTATCAGTATAGAAATTAAATGTTAGGAAAATATTTTTTGACTGTATAACAATGTGTTAATTACATAAAATTTTAAAAATATGATCAGGAAAAACATGATCCCAAGGCTACCATTGCAACCACATTGACACATTTTTTCCTTGGTAATTCTGAACACATTATACTTTTGATTATGGACTATAGTAAACGGACATTTTGCCTAGCAGTTAAGACGCTCACGTCCCACATCCGAGTACTTGCAGTGCATTTCTGGCTGCAGGCCCTGACTCCAGCTTCCTGCCAGTGCAGATCTGGGCAGGCAGTATTGATAGCTAAAGTAATTGGGTTCCTGCTACCCACACGGGAAACCTGGATTGCACTGCCAGTTCCTGGCTTTGATTATCTGTAGACATTTGTGGAGTGAACCAGAAGATGGAAGTTCTTTTTTTTTTTTTGACAGGCAGAGTGGACAGTGAGAGAGAGAGAGACAGAGAGAAAGGTCTTCCTTTGCCGTTGGTTCACCCTCCAATGGCCGCCGCGGCCAGCGCGCTGCGGCCAGCGCACCACGCTGATCCGATGGCAGGAGCCAGGAGCCAGGTGTTTTTCCTGGTCTCCCATGGGGTGCAGGGCCCAAGCACTTGGGCCATCCTCCACTGCACTCCTTGGCCACAGCAGAGGGCTGGCCTGGAAGAGGGGCAACCGGGACAGAATCCGGCGCCCCGACCGGGACTAGAACCCGGTGTGCCGGCGCCGCTAGGCGGAGGATTAGCCTAGTGAGCCGCGGCGCCGGCCAGAAGATGGAAGCTCTCTCTGTGTGTCTCTTTGTTTATCTCTGACCTTCTGCCTGTCAAATAAATAAAATCAAATTTTATGGTCTATATATAATTTCACATCTTATATTTTCCACTGCTTTGTGTCGTAAGTGATTCATGAACTTTAAAAACATAGTATTTATTTGAAAGAGCAACAGAGAGAGGGAGGCAAAGATCTTCCATCCACTAGCTCACTCCCCAAATGGCTGCAACGGCCAGGATTGGGCCAGACTGAAGCCAGGGGCCAGGAACTTCATCCTGGTCTCCCCATGAGTCACAGAGCCCAAGTTCTTGGGCCACCTTATGCTGCCTTCCCAGGTACACTAGCAGAGAGCTGGATCGGAAGCTGAGCAGCCAGGACTTGAACCAGCGCTCTGATCATAGGATGCTGGTGTCACAAACAATGGCCTAATCCACTGTACCAAAATGCTAGCCCTTCATAAATAGTTCATAGCATCCCATCACTTACTTCATCTAATATTAAATTTTTAGGTGGTATTAAATTTACTATAAATAATGAAAAGTTGAACGTTTTTGAATCAGTTTTTCTGAACTCCAGATTATATCTGTAGGTCCTTTTCTTAAAATGGTTTCTCTTGCTCCATACTTTGACATCTTTAGCTGAGATGTTGTATAGCCTGTAGTTACATGAACCAGCATTTCAAGTCAAGGATATCTCTTTAAAATTTTTCTTTTGGAGGGGCTGGCGCTGTGGTGTAGCAGTTAAAGCCTCTGCAGAGCCAGCATCCCATATGGGCACCGGTTCGAGTCCCGGCTGCTCCACTTCCAATCCAGCTCTCTGCTATGGCCTGGGAAAGCAGTAGAAGATGACCCAAGCCTGTTGCAGCCATCTGGGGAGTGAACCAGTAGATAGAAGACCCCTCTCTCTCTCTCTCTCTCTGCCTCTGCCTCTGCCTGTACCTCTTTGTAACTGCCTTTCAAATAAATAAGTCTTTAAAAATATTTTTTTCTCTTGGGGCAAGCATTTGGCCTAGCAGTTAAGATGCTGCTTGAGGGGCTGCAGTTGTGGTGAGTGGGTTAAACCACTGCTTGGGAAACCCATATCCTGTATCAGATTGCCTGGTTAAAGTCCTGGCTACTCCACATTTCCAGTCCAACTTTCTCCTAATATGCCTGGGAAGCAGTGGATGATGGCCCAAGTACTTTGGTTCCTGCCATTCATTCACATGGGAGATCTGAATGGAGTTCTTGGTTTCCAGTTTGACCCTGACCTAGCCCTGGCTGTTGTGGGCATTTGGCAAGTGAACAATAGATGATCTCTATGTGTCTGTCTGTCTGTCTCTGTTTGTCTTAATCTATATCTATTTGTCTGTCTCTGCCTTTCAAATAAATAAATAAAAATTAAAATAAGCAGTGTCTCCCATCTGAAAATGCTGGAAATAATTTTTGATGTAGTTTAGGAAAAGGGTTCCCTGGTCCCATTTAACATTTGCAAAGTGTTTGGAGCAGGCGTTGTGGCATAGCAGGTTAAAGTGCCACCTGTCACTCCAGTATCCCATACGGGCACCCATGCCTGTCCTGGCTGCCCTGTTTCCAACCCAGCTCCCTGCTAATGGCCTGGAAAAAGCAGCAAAAGATTGCCCAAGTTCTTGTGTCCCTGCCACCCACATGGGAGACCCAAATGAAGCTCCTGGCTCAGCCCTGGCCATTAGGGCCACTTGGGAATGAACTAGCAGGTGGAAGGTATCTCTCTTTCCCTCTCTCTCTTCATCTCTCTAACTCTGACTTTGAAATAAGCACATAAATCTTAAAAAAATAAAAAAGAAAAGAAAAATCTTCATCACAAGTGATGTTTGGCCACTAATACCCTTCTTTGTATCGTAACCATACTATAACTGTTACTTAGCTGAGTACTTTTAATATGCAGGGTGGTTTTTGTCAGTTCTCATAAATTTTTTGAATCACTTAATGTGAGGTGGATAGGAATGTATCTATTTGATAGAAAAGATTCATACTCAGAAAGCTAATAGAACATGCTTAAATATAATTTATTAAATATATAATTAAGTGAGAGAACTAAGATTTGGACTTAGTTCTTTCTGACCCCAATCCTAAACTTGTATTTAACATAACATAAAGCTAGGTTTGGATTTGATCATCCTTCACATATATGTCTTACCTAATTTCCATTCTTGCCCACACATACATACTCAAGAGTTAGTTTTCAAAATATCAAAACAAAAATATCGTTCTCATGCCCAGAGAATATTTTAGATTTATCACAGTATATCATATAGCTAGTCACGCTTTAAATATCTTTTGACAAATGGAGTTACTCAGATATTTGGAAGAGGTTAATTTACTTTTGGTGACTTGTTCTAAATTTCTGTTAAAAGATTTTATTTATTTATTTGAAAAGTAGAGTAACAGAGAGGCAGAAGCAGAGAGAGAGAGAGAAGGGTCTTCCATCCACTGGCCATCCGCTGGTTCACTCCCTCGATGGCTGCACTGGCTGGAGTTGTGCTGATTGAAGCCAGGAGCCTCTTCTGGGTCTCCCACGTGGCAACAGGAGCCTGAGGATTTGGGCCATGCTCTACTGCCTTCCCAGGCCACAGCAGAGAGCTGGATCGAAACTGGAGCACTGGTGCCCGTATGAGATGCTGGCACTGCAGGCGGTGGCTTTACCTGCTATGCCACAGTGCCAGCCCCTCTAAAATTATTTATATTAAACTAGTCTTCGAGCTCATTGTGACTATTTGTGTTCTTCTGAAAATTCTCTCTGATACAAGACACAGCAGTATTGTATAGCTACTATGTCTTTAATTATTCAGAGCAAAAAAATGTATATTTTTAAAGCACTGTAAACTGTTAAGTACATTATTATGTTGTACAGTTTACTTGCCTGTTTCTAGTGGAAGGATTTAACAAATCAGCTGGGGATTATGCCTGTCAGTTTTTAAGTCCCGTGCAGCTATTCAGAATACATATTGAACACTTAATACAAGTTTGTCACTTTGGTCTCATTTAGAGAATCTTATTCTGAGGTAAGGTAATTTTCTTGAATCTTTGTAAAACCTGGTTTCTTACTTTTATTTTTGTTTCTATTTTCAGTTATTTGTTCCACAGTGGCAACCAAGAACATCCGGGAGATATTCTGCTAAATACAACTGTGGAAGTTTTGCCTTTTAAGGTCTGACTCTTTTCTCCCCTTGCCTTTCCCTGAGTACTAATTACCAATAGACTGGCTTTGAGGCTGTTCTTGTGTATGAGGTAAAAGAAATTCTCATTATTTGCAGGATTTAGTGGTGAGTATTGTTAATTTTTTTTTGAAACATGGAATACCTGTATTGGTCCATTGAACATTCATAGGAAGAGCTGTCATTTTGTTTTATTTAGGTGTTTTGAAAAACAAAGTGGAGATGTACACTAGGAAAGATATGAATCATTATTTTACTTTAGTGTTTACTTGCTGTTGATAATTTAAGTCCCCAAATACTATGTAGTTTTAATGTTTCTTGATTTTAAACTACAAGATTAATTTATTGATCTCTTAAGCCATACTTAGATTTCTTGCAAGTAAATGTACAAGTTCTTCTATAGTTTTACAGTATAAAATATTTTATTAAATTGATTTAATATTTCATTTCCCCACCACCAATGTGTTATATACAGGTTCAAATAATGGTTTAAAAAAACACTTTTTTTTTTTTTTCCGAGAGGAGAGAGAGCAAGCGAGTGAGCTCCTATCCAATCTCTCATTCATTCCCCTAATGCACACAACAGCTGGAGCCAAAGCCAAGAGCAAAGAACCAGGTCCCCCACATGAGTGGCAGGAATGCAATTTCTTGAGCCGTTACCGTTGCCTCTCAGGGTCTGCATTGGTAGGAAGCTGGAATCAGGAGACAGAGCTGGGAGTCAAACCTGGCACTCTAGTAAGGGATGCAGGCATCTTAACCCCTGGCTGAGTGCCTATTCTAAAAAAAGTTTGAGATTCAAGAATAGAATGACTTGTCTCCTTTTAAAGATGGCTGTGTCACAAATGCCAGATATATTAACTTAAATTGGTTTTAAATAGAAGTGATTATTTATAAAATTGCTTTTGTTTTATTTTAGAGTGAAGGTTTGGAAGTAAGCAAAGAAACCAAAGATAAACGATTAGAAGATGGCTATTTCAGAATAGGTAATGTCTGTTTCAGAAAAAGGTCCTTTATTTTATTGGACTTACTCCTTAAAGTGATTTTAAATTCTTTTTAGATGTTTAAGCAACTTAAGGATTCCAGTTACCAACATGCTCCAAATTTAATTCCTGTGTTTTAATATTTTATTTTATTATCTTTATTATCTTTTATTTTATTATCAGGTTCACTCATTGGTTCCTCTTTGTCTCCATCTGTCCTGTCATTGTTGATACTCACTGGTAGACTGTGTTCAGCTGTCTCTCTCTGTTGGTGTCTTTCTGGATGAGCTTAGTTGCCTTCATGATCTCAGATAACATCCATATGCCAATCTCTGTGCTTTTCACCCCACCTCCCTCCTGAGCACCAACTGTATTTAGATGCCACTGACATTTCCGCCTACTCTGAGCATCTAACACAGACATATATTTCTGTATTGATCACTATGGTTTTTGCTGTTCCTGAACATCCAGTCACTCAAGCCTAACCTTTGGAGTCATCCTGAACAACCTTGTCTCCCTTACTGTCCATGAGTATAAAATTTGTGGATTTTAGAGCTGAAAGTTGTGGGTCACCTTGTCTGTGCACATGCTGTATGCCCTCTGCCTGTATTTCAGCATCAGGGAAGAGACTGTATCTACTTGTCTCTTTTTTGTTGGCTTTCCAGAGCCACCGCAGTTACTTTCATAAAATGTAAAGAAATATTGACCTGGGTGGAAACTTCACTGACCTTCCATGATCTGATTCCTTAGTTCCCACCCACCTCATATCTTGTTACTTTCCTCTTAACTCCTTGCATCTCCAGTCCTAAGGCTGTTGGTCCTGTAGTTAATGCCCCTTGCTCGTATGTATAGTCCTGTCTCCAGCCATCTTCTCTGCCTGAAGTGATCCTTGGACAATTCTCTTCTCCTAATAAGTGCTTTCTTACCCCTAATGAACCAATTTAGTTGCCTGTCCTCTGTGCTTCTTGAACCATGCCCTGTGTGTTTTATAGTAGAACTATGTTGTGTCATATGTTCTGTGTGTTTGTTCTGGAGAGAGAGGGCCATTATCTCTCTTGTGTCTGTTGCAGTGTACAAAGGGCCTTTTCCTTGGTAGATGTTACTCAATGAATAATTACACATTTTCTTTTACTTAAAATATTAATACTTTTCTTAGTAGTCAGCAAGAGAAAATATTAATTTAATATTATAGGTCTACAATATTAGTTACATGTAGTTATATAGTTATCACTATATGGTTATCACTAGAGTAGTTTAAATTTTTGTGAGTTTTGATTAATATGTAATGCTTGTCAATGTTTTCTTTCTCTTTTTTTTAAACTTTTATTTAATAAATATAAATTTCCAAAGTACAGATTTTGGATTACAGTGGCTTTTTCCCCCCATAACCTCCCGCAACCATCCCATCTCCTGCTCCCTCTTCCATCCCATCCACATCAAGATTCATTTTCAATTATCTTTATATACAGAAGATCAATTTAGTATATACTAAGTAAAGATTTCAACAGTTTGAACCCACACAGAAACACAAAGTGTAAAGTATTGTTTGAGCACTAGTTATACCATTAATTCACATTGTACAACACATTAAGGACAGAGTTCCTACATAGGAAGTAAGTGCACAGTGACTCCTGTTGTTGATTTAACAATTGACACTCTTGTTTATGGCGTCAGTAATCACCCTGGGCTCTTGTCATGAGTTGCCAAGGCTATGGAAGCCTTTTGAGTTCACCAACTACGATCTTATTTAGACAAGGTCATAGTCAAAGTGGAAGTACTCCCCTCCCTTCAGAGAAAGGTAGCTCCTTCTTTGATGGCCTGTTCTTTCTGCTGGGATCTCACTCACAGAGATCTTTCATTTAGGTTTTTTTTTTTTTTTTTTTTCTTGCCACAGTGTCTTGGCTTTCCATGCCTGAAGGACTCTCATGGGCTTTTTAGCTGTATCCGAATGCCTTAAGGGCTGATACTGAGGCCAGAGTGCTGTTTAGGACATCTGCCATTCTATGAGTCTGCTGTGTTTCCTGCTTCCCATGTTGGATCGTTCTCTCCTTTTTAATTCTATCAGTTAGTATTAGCAGACACTAATCTTGTTTATGTGATCCCTTTGACTCTTAATCCTATCATTATGATCAATTATGAACTGAAACTGATCACTTTGACTAGTGAGATGGCATTGATACATGCCACCTTGATGGGATTGAATTGGAATCCCCTGGCACGTTTCTAAGTCTACCATTTGGGGCAACTCTGATTAGCATGTGCCAAACTGTACATCTCCTCCCTCTCTTATTCCCACTCTTATATTTAACAGGGATCACTTTTCAGTTAAATTTAAACACCTAAGAATAATTGTGTGTAAATTACAGAGTTCAACCTAAAGTATTAAGTAGAACAACAACAAAAAAATACTAAAAGGGATGAAGTATTAAGTTGTTCCTCGACAGGACAAGGGCTGATCAAGTCATTGTTTCTCATAGTGTCCATTTCACTTCAACGGGTTTCCTTTTTGGTGCTCGGTTAGTTGTCACCAATCAGGGAGAACATATGATATTTGTCCCTTTGGGACTGGCTTATTTCACTCAGCATGGTGTTTTCCAGATTCCTCCATTTTGTTGCAAATGACCGGATTTCTTTTTTTTTTTTTTTACTGCTGTTTAGTATTCTATAGAGTACATGTCCCATAATTTCTTTATCCAGTCTACTGTTGATGGGCATTTAAGTTGATTCCAGGACTTAGCTATTGTGAATTGAGCTACAATAAACATTGAGGTGCAGATAGCTCTTTTATTTGCCAATTTAATCTCCTTTGGGTAAATTCCAGGGAGTGGGATGGCTGGGTTGTATGGTAGGGTTATATTCAGGTTTCTAAGGAATCTCCAGACTGACTTCCATAGTGGCTTAACCAGTTTGCATTCCCACCAACAGTGGGTTAGTGTCCCTTTTTCCCCACATCCTCTCCAGCATCTGTTGTTGGTAGATTTCTGTATGTGAGCCATTCTCACAGGGGTGAGGTGAAACTTTATTGTGGTTTTGATTCGCATTTCCCTGATGGCTAGTGATCCTGAACGTTTTTTCATGTGTCTGTTGGCCATTTGGATTTCCTCTTTTGAAAAATGTCTATTGAGGTCCTTGGCCCATCTCTTAAGTGGGTTGTTTGTTTTGTTGTCAATGTTTTCTACATTAGGGGTCATTCAACTATTGTTAAAAGGCTTGCATATTAGTCCTAATTTCTTTTTTTAAGATTTATTTATTATTTATTCGAAGGGCAGAGTTTACAGAAAGAGGCAGAGAGAGTCAGAAAGAAAGAATCTTCCATCTGCTGGCTCACTCCCCAAATGGCCACAATGGCTGGAGCTGGCCAGTATGAAGCCAGGAGTCAGGAGCCTTCTCCTGGTCTCCTACACAGGTGCAGGGGCCTAAGCACTTGGGCCATCTTCTACTGCTTTTCCAGGCCATAGCTGAGAGCTGGATCGGAAGAGGAGCAGCTGGGTCTCCACACAGTGCCCATATGAGATGCCAGCACTGCAGGGGACAGCTATACCCACTGTGCCACAGCACCAGCCCCCTGACTAATTTCTGTGTTGCTTTGATAAACAGGTCAATGTAGTTATTGTCATATTTGAGCCTTGTAGTATAGGCTGTCTCTAGAAATGTGCATGAAATGAGCTTAATGTCCAAGACATTTCTTATCTCTGCAGTTACTTGAGGACAATGACCACCTAAAGCACCAATTCATATGTACTTAAAAGAGAATTTATGGGTTGTCAAACCTAGGACTTCATATAACAAAAACACCCATCAGAAATAAAAAGCCTTGGATTTTTTTTTCACCTGCATATAAAAAGTTCTGCTCCCTTAAAGGGTTTTATTGATTGTCTTCCTAGCAGAACAACTGTAACCGGTGAAAAATATTTTTTTAAAAATCATTTTAAATCTCTGAATATTGTCCTAAGGGCATAAAACAAAGGGAACAGCATTCTTGGAAAGCTGTTAGGTGTCAGTAAGAACATTGAGTCTGTGGCATTTCAGCCATGACCTACTCCATTACCCACAGCACACAAGCTCAGCAGGACGGCAGCTGTGTTCCCTGCAGGCTCAGCCAAGGAGATGAGACTCACTGTCCTACCAGCTCTTACCTCACCCAGAGGAGCAGGCTTCCAGCATCTGTCATCACCCCAAACTCTTGAGTTACACAGAACAGGTCTCAGACTCCCTCCCTTCCTCCACCCAAACCCCATTCACAGGGCAGAACTGTGCCCCAGCCGCAGCAGGGTGAGAATGCCCAGCCCTAGTCACTCTTGCCCAGCTAACTTCTGGTGCACTGTTCAGTGCAAGCCAAGAAAATCGGGGGCCACTGCCCAGCCACCTTGCTCATAAAGTAGAGCATCACTTCAAGAGAGGTGCAGGTGCACTTCCCTGCTAGAGACCCGGAGAGCAGAGGTGCAGAGATTTTTGCCGGGGAGAGGCAGGCCAGAAGAACTGAGGGGTTTGTGTCTCTCCCTAACAGAACTGACTTGAAACAGAACTTGGCGGAGTCTCAAGGCTAAGGGCGCTGTGGCACATAAGCACAGTGGAGACTTTAGCAGTAGGCCAGTAGAGGGTGGTAGTTGCATACGAACTAAATTGAAACCCCAGCTAGAAGTTTAACGGGGAGAACCAGGGAAATAGCTAATGTGAGCCCTCGGGGGCCGGGAGTAAGCCGTCAAGACTGGCCCCGCAAAGGAGGTGGGGGGACTGTATTTAATTGAATCTGACTGCACAGCAGTTTATGCCCAAAGGCATCGTTGAAAACCAGGCAGTAGGCTGGCAGTTAGTGGAGTCCCACTGGTTGAGGTGGAGTAGTTTAGAAGTGTGTGGGCTGACAGCCAAGGATGGTTTGGTGAAAGAAATGCTAGATTTAGTTCTGAAGAATCTTCTGCAGGACAACAGTGGAAAAGGGAGAGACACTGGTCAGGGAATCCAGACTACAGGACCTTGGAAGTTTCTTCTGATGCCAAGAATCTGGGATTCTGGTCTCTCGTTGATAATTTTCTCTTTCATTTTTTTCCCTCTTCCCTATATTTTAATGCTTACCTACCAGACCACTGGGTTAAGAACAGAGGTTAAATTTGTTGTTTGACAAGATTAATACATGCACTTGGAGCAGATGCAAATTAAACAAGGTAGACTGAACTCCCTCTTTTCTCTTGCCCCCCAACTCATTGTTCCTAGAGGCAGTTCCTGTAATGATTCGAGCTCTTCCAGTAATATTTTGTGCGTACTCATCCATGAGTATATTGTTCTAAAAACACAGAAGTCTCACACATTTTTGTTCTGCATCTTGCCTTTCCATTGAACAAAATGCATAGGTCCATGTGGAATGTGAACATTTAAAAATATTTAAATATATCAGTTGCATAAAAAGATAGAGGTAGTAACATAATGCGCATCTGTGTATCTGACCAGCTTAAGATTGCCAATTCACTTGTCCTTGCCTAATAGCTTCTCTTTGTCTTCTACCCAAAGATAATGACTGCTCTGAGTTCTGTGGTTACCATTTCCATGTACATGTTTACTACACGTCTGTAACCCTAAATAATGCACAGTATTATTTTGCTTATTTTTAAATTTGATATAACTATCTTTCTATGGTTTATGGTGTCTTTTTCTTTCACCATGATAGATTCATCCGTGGGATATGTATGTGTGGCTCATTTATCTTTGCCATGGATGAATGTAGTACTATCTCTTTTCCCATGTGGTTATAAGGTTTGTTTACATCTTTTTGGTGTTTTACACAATGCTCTTTTGAACAGATAAACCTTTACAATCATTTTTCATGTCAGAGTCCACTAACTTTTCATTTTAAATGCAATGTTATCCCCCAAAAAGGAATTAAATTCTTCTCCTTAGTATTCATGGATTGTTATATATTAAACTTCATCAGTGGAAATTTGCTGTTTCTATATGTAACTGTTTACCTTGTATCCTATTTTGCGCTTGCCCCACAAGACATTCCTTTGTAGAAAAAGTTTGTAGGAGAGGTATGACCTCTTTTTTCTTTTTTTGATGTTACCTCTTTATTGTGGATTGAGTTGAGCACTGTGTATGTCTGATTAAAACATTGAAATTTGTTACTGATTTAACCTTCAGAATGCCAGACCTCTTGACTGTACAGATTATATTTTGGTAAGGTTTGGTTAAGTGACAATTTACTAAAAATCTGCAAGTTAAAACAGTGTCGATGCGAGAACATTTTTTTTTTAATTTGCAGTGAGAAAACGTGTAGCTATGCAGAATTAAACAGGTTTTTAATGTTTTTAAGCATGCACTGCTTCATGAAGAATTTGAGTTAGAAGAAAATAGAAATGGAGAAAAGAGGGGGAAATCACCCATGCTTTGTTAAAATACCTCTATTAAAAATATTTTGGTATATTCCTTTTCAGCCTTAAGTCACTAACATTTTACATATATTTCTATCAGTCTATTCAGTAAATACTGATGTTTTATTTTGAAGGAAAATTTGAGAATGGTATTGCAGAAGGAATGGTGGATCCTAGTCTAAATCCCATTTCAGCCTTTCGACTTTCAGTTATTCAGAATTCTGCTGTTTGGGCCATCCTTAATGAGGTAAGAGTATATTAAATTAATGAAAGAGTTTAGATACTACATTTTTAAATGACATTTTGAAGGCTTTTTGGAATTGAAAGTTAACTGTCTGATCATACATTTCATTATTTTGTATTTCAGATTCATATTAAAAAAGTCACAAATTGACCATCTATGAAACCAACATTTTTCTCCAGTGAATCTGTTAATTAAAGATAGTTAAGCATGTACCCTTTTTTTTTTTTTAACTTGAACACTACCTCTTGTGAAATCTACTGTAGATAAGATGATTGTCATTTCCACTTGGAAAGTGAATCTCCCATGGATAATTGTACTCAATTGAAATTGAAACTATGCTGTCCTCTGATTTTAACTTGACTCAAACATTTTACGACAGCCTGTTAATATGACTTGTACTATTTTGGTATTATACTAATACATAAGAGTTGTACATATTGTTACATTCCTTAAATTTGAGAAAAACCAATGTTAAATACATTTTATGAAGGGGGTACTTTTGAATTTCATTTATTTTAATATTATAGACCCTCTTTTATAGATTATCAGGGATTATATATATAGATATATAAATATACATAAAATGTTCTGGAATTAATTTATTAGAAACACCTAAGAAATACATATTTTTGTGCAGTAAATTTTTGGATTGATACTTTTTTTGAAAACCAGTTACCTTGCTTTTTTAAGTTCTTTCTATATTTACTTTGGAAATGCAAACATTACAAATCAATGCCATTTTTCAATGCACTGCCATTTAAGATTGATTATAGATGGATTTCTTAACTGAAGTACTTTTATAATTGCAACGATTCTGAACAAAATATTTTCAAAGGCATTTGTCATTCCTACAAGTCAAGATTTTAAAGACCAACATCCTTCTTGAGGGTTATTTTACTATACTGTGTATGGTGTATGTATTAGTCAGCTTTTCGTTATTATAACGAAATACTTGACACAGGCTTCTTATAAAGGAAATATATTTTGGCTCACAGTTTTGGAGGTTCACAGTCCAAGGCTGGGCAGACCCCATTGGTTTAGTCTCTGGTGATGGTATTGTTATTGGCAAAGTCCCAAGGTGGCACAGGGCATCACATGGCAAGAGGGAATGTACACATACGTTCTGTAGTTCTCTCATAAAGCCATGAGAATGTAATCACTGGGGCTTCACCCTGATGATCCAATCACCTCCCAAAGGCCTCTCCTCCAAACGCCATCACTGGATTAAGTTTCCACCCTGTAGGACCATAAGGACTTTGGGACCAAACCTTTAATATTTGGGCCTTTGGGGGACACTCAACATCCAGACTAATATCCAAACCGTAACAGTGTATGGTCACAGAAAATCAGGGTGATACATTTTAACATGCTGAATTATCATATACTTGTTATATTTCCTGATATGTAAAATGACAATGTCTTTTGGCCTTTTTAGTCTGTCTTTAATCTGTGAGTTAGATGCTTTATTCTTGTTGATCATTTTATAAATCTACACATTTTATGAGTTCTAATGGAATGTTTGCTAAGTAATGCTATTGCAAGGGTTGTAAAGTGGCTTCGTTTTAAAGAAAAACAAAATTGTAATATTGGATTTTAGTGAAAGGTATTGTAGCAGTTCTGTGTTTTCTTGAAATGGTTTATTCTGTCATGTTATGAACTGATAAATCCCAAGCCCTGCAATTCCAAACATTACTGCTACACATGAATATTAGCAGTCCTGGCAATCGGTGATGTCTACTAAAGATAAGTACATTAAAACATGAATTACCAACATCAGTTCCCAGCCATTCTACTTTGACAACCCAGAGTTGCAGGTAGAGTACAGATGTGAGATGTTGAGCCGCTGAGCTTTCAGAGTAGGCCCTCGCCGAGGGCTTTGGTGGGATTGGTTCAGCTTCATCTGGTTGCCCAGTGTGCTGAATAAGTAGCATCAGACAGTACCACTCTCTGTGTAGTGTTATGAAGTGAAAAACATTGATACAGTGCAGTTATTGCCATCATTCTACATTGTAATAGTAATTTTTGGTTACTTTTGATGCCTGGAGTGATTTTTATGTCCAGCTGAAGTTGTTCATTGGAGTTTTTTAGACCTTTTCTTTAACTTAATTTTCTTGTCAGCTTTCTTTGGCCCGGTGACCACAGGCAAATTTCATTTGGAAGCAGAGTATCTGCGATCTATAAAACTTTGGCACCAGCTTAGCATACTAAGTTCCTGGAGTCCCCTGGGTCCCCGCTTCTTCAGTAGCCAGCTGTGGTTTCAGGAAGAAAGGCCACGCTCCTAAGGTCTGGTGAAGAGAAGATAGACTGCGACCCCTGAGGCCGTTTGTTAGAGCTGCTTTGAGGTCTTCCTGGCCAGCTTTTTCTGTCTTGCTGCTCAGTCTCCCCTCCCAGGTTTGCTCACCCCCCCCCATTCCTAAAACTCCTGCCCGTCACCCAGACTCTTGTGCCCTCCTCCCCATGTCTGTTCCTAGAGCCTGGAATGTGGCTGGCACGTGGCAGGTGCAGTGGGCATCTGGGTGAGGAGACCAGCTGTTCTGCCTACCCTCCTCTACCTTTGCTCGCTTCCTTTTCCTCCTGTCCTCACCACACACGTGCAGGTATCCTCAGCTGTTTAGTTTTGATTATTGGGTGCATCTGTGGGGTGTGTTGCCTCTTTGACCAAACTGCAAGCTCTGGAGGTGAGCCTGGAACTCAGGCTTCTCTGTTCACGTGTGCTGCAGCAGGTGCTCACTGCATTGGCACCTGCCTCCTCCTTTTTGCCAGGTTCTATACGATGAGAAGCATCCATACTTTCTTTGCCCAGGCAAGACATTGTGGTGGTAGCCCTGAAGACTGGTGTTGAGGCAAAAGATTGGAAGTGAAAAGTACTTGAACTGAAAAGGTAAATTCCTGACCTTTGACAGGACATTGAACCACTTTTACCGAAACAGTGAAAGAGAAAAGTGTCAAATAGTAGAACTAAGTTGATAGGTATATATATGGCATGGCTTGGCATCTGATCTATATTTCACATATACTACTCAGACTTTCTCAAGCTGTGCTGGCCTAGCCACGACATGCATGGTAGCTATTTAAAAAAATTCAGTTCTGCAGTCACATGAATTTCTTAAGTGCTTAGTGGCCACATGAAGGTAGAGGCTGTCACATTGGACACCACAGATCCAGAGTGTTTCCATTACTGCAGAAAGTTCTGTTGGAGAGTATTGTGCCAAGAGTGCTAGTGCGGACATGTTAGAAATCAGTCAGTGAATTCTTATGATGGACTAAAGGAGATAATGTGGCTACATCATTATGTGTGTGGTGGGGTGAGTATTTTGGGTGAGAAAAGAAAGTTGAGGATTAGGATTCTAAGACCCAGGGTAAGTTCCTTACTATCCTCTCAGGCAGTTTCCACAGCATGCATTGCATCTGTAGTCAAAAAAAGATAGTGTAATTGGAAAGCTTTGGAATAAATTAATGCAAATGAATTGTTTTAGCCTGTAGGCTACCAGATGTGTGTGTATATTCAACCACTGGAGATTCTTTGAACAAAGGTATTATATAGTTTCTCTAATCGGTGGCCGCACCAGTACATAATTATAAGGTGTGATCGTTTTCAAAACCATTAGCAAAGTTCTGAAGGCTTTTAAAAAATCTGATCTAAGAATGAGAAAAATGTCTTCCAGCAGTGCTGTTCCTCAGAGAAAGGGTTGGCTGGGTGAATACGATTGAATACGGTGTGTCTGGAGATTGTACTAATAGTGTGTATTTGTGGTAGGCAGAGTTCTAAAAATATCCTCTGAGTGTGGGGGTACCTGTGAATATGACCCAAGATTACATCCCATTATTTACCAAAGGGGGAGTTATCTGGGGGTGGCTCATCGGATCTTGAGCTCTTTGAAAGCAGTTTTCTCAGGCTGGTAGCAGAAGCCAGAGACTCAAAGCACCACGGGGGCTTCAGGGTGAAATGGGCCGTGTGAGAAGGAATATGGGCGGCTTTCAGGAGCTGAGAGTGTTGGCTGAAGGCCCAGGAAATAGGAACTCAGTCACAGAAAGCGAGTTCAGCCCTCAAGCTCATTCTCGGGCTTGGAGATGGATTCATCTCCAGATAGAGAGCCCAGCCTGGCAGACACCTCGATTCTAGCTCCATGAAATCCTGCTTACGCAGAGAGCTCAGCTCAGCCTGCTTGGACTTCTGACTGCAGAACTGTGAGCTAGTCAGCGTTGTTTCAAGCTGATCCTGTCCTAATATGTTACGCAACAATAGAAAATGAATGCAATATGTAAAAGAGGCAGTCTTCATACTTGATTCCCTAAGGTATTAAGGTATATCGGCTATTTCTTGGTAAGTTCATGAAGTCAAGTCTTGGCTACCACAGAATACCTGAGTTTCATCTAAGATCTCTGCCAGAGATCTCAAACAGTCTTCACTGGAAGTTTGTTGGCAAAAAGTTGCAGCATTTTAGTGGTGTTTTATAAAGACATTGCTAAAATGAGATTGTAGGAATAGAATCAAAGTAGTGTATAAGAGGTCTTTTTTCCTGAGTGAGGTATTAATTCTTACTGATTTAGACTGCTTTGACCTTGACATAAGTGTATTAAAGAGTGACAGTGAAATTTTGAGAAAAAAATACTTAGTCTTTATGTAGAGATCAGATAATCTATTCTGGATGAGGGTCCTTTTTTGTTTTTTTAAACCAAAACCTAGTTTATTAGCACAGATCAAGTCCTCTATGTGCCAACTGAATTTCTGTACTATGAGAATGTTTTCCAAAATACCTCTATGCTTTCAAGCCATTAATTGCTAGTGATGTTTATTTTGGCTTATCCATTTATTCTGTGGGGTTTTTTGTTGTTGTTTTGTTTTTATTGTACTGCCATAGCCCTGATGTAGGACAAGCAGCCTAAGGAAAGGGAATTATGCTAAAGCCTGTCAGTGATCAGAAATCCGAGTCATAGCATACTGTGTTTAGGGAACTTAGATATCCAGGCAACTCCAATCTCTATAGAAGGAAAATTTTCCAAACCATGTAACAGTATTTATAGTGTGTAAAATTTAGTTTGATAATTGTGAATTTTTAAACTGATATTAACAGACTCATGCTATGATAATTAGTATGTTTACTTCATTAATGCATGTGAACACTGCTAAAAAGACTACTACCAGAGTATTATTTTAAAAAGGCAACCAAATGGAGGATTTTGTTATACATGTCTGTATCAGTAGCTATATCATAAATTCTTCCCTTCTTACCCAGAACACTCATTTCACCAGCTTGGGTACTTACCTAGAATACTGTTAAAGAACAAACATGAAAGAGGGCTAGCACCCCAATGCATGTGTGGGCTGAGCTGACACTTCGATAAAGTAAATGCAGTGCAAAAACACAGTGGTGCTAAAACTGTTCTAAAATAAGGATTGTTTGCTGTGGAGAATATTTTAATACCGTGGACATTAGGGAATTTTATGTATCACTTGCCCCTAGTTTTATTGTGTTAATAAGCAAGATGTCTTAGATCAAAGGTTTGGTACTGTAGCTTGATTAGCATTCCATTATTTATTTGAAATGCTGTGTTTGCTTCAATGTGGTGAACACACTTTCTGAAGACCTATTCTCTGAGCCTTAAATCGGGTTGACATCGACAGTACTGTAAGACGCACTGCCAGCAGATTTGATACCCTTCATCTCAGTGTAGATACAATGTTTCCAAGAAAGCTTTAGAAATCAGCTAGGTTTAAAAGTGTGTTTCATTTGTGGAATCAAAAACAACACTTCTTTGGAAAGGCTGTCACGGCATTTGGGGTTTCTGGAGGCATTCCTTCAAAAGCTGCCTGAGGAATCTCTTGGCCAGGTTGTACCAGATGTTTTTCCTTAAATGTATTGTACATATTTTCCTTGAAATATCTTCACTGGTTGAATGGTTAATATTTGTAGTAATATTTAGGTACCTGTTGGATTTTTAAAGGAAGATTATTTATTTTCAAGTTTGCTGCTATAATTGAAAACCCAATAACTGGTCCTGTCGACTGTGCCTTTCATCACTGTTTCTCTGTGCCACAACCATTCATCTGTATTTGAAATAAAGAAGTTTTAAAAATCATATTCAATGGAAGTTTATCAATGTTTACTTTATTTGGGTAAGTCTTACTGTTTAGAGCCGGTAGTACAGTACAGTGATTCCTGTTTTCTTTCAGGCAAAATCATGTGGCCTCTATCAGTGTTTACAGTAGAGCTCATTAGAAATGAGGTAGACCAGAGACAACGGGGCTATTTTCCAAAAGTAATTCATTTTAAAATTTCACATTTCTGTTTTCCCTAGTATCTGTGTGAATGAGCACATAGATTAACATGCATGCTTTAGTTTAAAAAATATTTATTATAGAAATGTACATTTAATTAGTCTTAAGGAATGTACTTAACAATAGTGTTAGCATATTTGTAAACTTTACACCTTTTAAGATATCTACAGAGATTATTTACAAGTTTTACAAGAAATCATCACTATACCAATACTGTTGCCACAGTTAAGCTGGAATATTGTCACTCTTTTCATTTCACTCGGTACTTGTAGAAAGAACAGAGAGTGTGGGTGAAGTTCCATCCTAGTGCTAGAGACAGCCCGTAGAGCAGAATGAGAGGTGCAAATGGGTAGAGAAGAATTACCGTACTTTTCAAAAATGGCAGTGCTGCAAAAGAAACATCCACATTGACTTTGGAAAAAAATTAAGACTAATGGACATTCTGAAAGATGTTACTTCAATAAAAGAAACTAATAGCCAGAGCTACAGGACTCATGATTGACTGCTTCCTTGTCAGTTAGCTGTTTCAGCCCACCAGCTGAGGGGGAAGCAAATCAGGTCCAAGGTTCAAGTGGGAGACAGACATCACAATTATTAATTAAAACTGGTGAATTTAAACTTCTTATAGCCTGAAAACCTTAAGGCAGAGAGAAGGCTGCTATTATAGGTGGTCTACAGAAACTTCATGGAAAATGAAAACACTGATTTCCTGCACCAAGACATTTTTAACTTCATTTTCCACAAACTTTTTGAAGTAACGCTGTAACTATTATAATTGGGACAGTGCCTATAAATGTTCCATAAGGGAAGCTAGCAGTATCGCTGTTACAACTAATTGACCAAAACCAACTTTTTAACATTACTTACCACTATAACCTAGGAAGGTTACATAGATATAATAGCCAACCGCAATCAACCATAAGGTATTTCCAACTAAATATCCAATAAATGTGTCTGTAAGGATAACATCTGCCAGAAGAGATGCACACAGTGAGTCTCTTTACCAAGGCATACTGTAAAGGCTTTGGAAATACTTTGAAAAGTAACTGCTACTTACGGTTGATGAAAAAAAGCTGGATAAAATGCAAAATGACTAACAGAGGATAAAAAGCGTTCAGATGCACATCAAAGGCGTAGCCCCACTCCACATCGTAGTCCCGGCTCTGTCGTTTCACCAAGTACTTATTAGAGATGAACCTGAAGAACACAATTACAGTGTTTCATATGGCAGTGACCTCTGTATTTACCGACCACCAGACGTCATGTGGAGGCACAGCAGGAACCACCACAAAATCCCTGCCTCCCCTCTAGTGGAGAAGACAGTAATGTAAACACAAGGGCGCTTCAAAGAGTTCTAGGCAAATCGTTTACTTTGGTGCAAAAAAATTAGAAATCTGTGCAGTGCATACTTTTTTCATGATAAGCATCATACGTGAACATTGTGAAGTTCTCTTGTATAGGCCACATGGTTCTACAGAGCAAATGAGGCAGGAGAGATGGAGAACTCAAACCTGAGATGCCGATTTAAATATGATGGTTATACCTGGGGAAAGACCCAGCTCGGCTTCGGGAATGGGCAGTGTGGGTGGCAGTGAGGAGGAAAGGAGTAGATGGCGTCACAGCAGAAACAGGGCCAGCTCTTGTGATGCCCGGGGCCACTTTCAGACCTCTGGCTTCTACTCCCGGTGAAAGGAGAGACCGCTGCGGAGCCGCGGCAGGTTTGACAGTTTCCATGCCGGCTGCCCCGAGAACACACTAGTGATAAGAGCACGAGTGGCTGCGGTGGCTGGGATACACTACAGCTGGAAGGTACAGCCCTCAGAATCAAGCACTAGATGTGGGGATGAGGAAAGTCCAAGATGACGGAGAGGTTTCTGCTTTCAACAGAAGATGTGGGTGCCAAGACCGAGGAGACTAGTTGCAGGAAGAGTATGTTTTTGTTTCTGTCAGTTTTCACTTAAGAGACAGGACAGCTGGTTCACTCCCCCAAATGCCTGCACTACCCAGCCAGGCCTGAACTGGAGCCAGGAGCTCAATCCAGGTTTCCTACTTGGTGGCAGGCACCCAATTACTTGAGCCATCACGAGCTGCTCCCCAAGCAGGATCAAGGGCCAGGAATCAAACAGGCACTCTTCTGTGGGTGTCTTCATCACTAAGCTCAATGCCTGCCCCAAAAAAGGGGTTTTGAAGAGTGCATGAGTTTGGATTTGGACCCGTTGTGTTAAAAATGCCTATTAAAAGACATTGTTGAGGGGCCGGCGCCATGGCACAGTGGTCTGAACAGCCCTGGCCGGAACCGCCGGCATCCCATATGGGTGCCAATTCTAGTCCCGGCTGTTGCTCTCCTGATCGAGCTTTCTGCTGTGGCCTGGGAAAGCAGAAGAAGATGGCGCAAGTGCTTGGGCCCCTGAATCCACATGGGAGACCCGGAAGACGCTCCTGGCTTCGGATCAGCGCAGCTCCAACGTCGTGGACAATTGTGGAGTGAACCAGCAGATGGAAGACTTCTTTCTGCCTTTGCCTCTGCCTCTCTGTAACTCTTCCTTTCAAATAAATCAATCTTTAAAAAAAGGCAGGGAAGGAGTGGCCAGTGGACACTATATCCGGCCATGAGAACAACTGGTCAGGCTTAATTTTCAGTGAAGTGACAAATGAATTACAAGTATAATATCCAGGTAATAGAAAAGATGATCTTAGAAAAAGAATAAAAAGATCATTTTAGGGGTTGGTGCTGTGGCGCAGCAGGTTAAAGCCCTGGTCTGCAGTGCCGGCATCCCATATGGGCGCTGGTTCAAGTCCCAGCTGCTCCACTTCTGATCCAGCTCTCTGCTATGGCCTGGGAAAGCAGCGGATGATGACCCAAGACCTTGGGCCCCTGCACCCATGTCAGGGACACAGAGGAAGCTCCTGGCTTCAGATCACTCAGCTCCAGCCATTGCAGCTATTTGGGGAGTGAACCAGTACATTGAAGACCTCTGTCACTCTTTCAAATAAATAATAAAAAATCATTTTACCATAAATACCCATGGACATACAACATACTTAATGTGTCACCCATTTCAATTCAGGGATACAGTTAAAAAAATGCTAGACCTATGACCAGTAAAAATACAGTACCGGTGGTGGGGGGGATGGCACGGTATCTAATAAACTGTCCCCCACAGGATTACCTGAAAATGCCAAAATTCTGCTTCACTCAGACAACTGGAACTTAACAAAACATTGCCCATTTTAGCCAAGCAAAGGTACCACGGCAATTTTACAGACTCAACGTGTAGCTCGCTCCCCTAGAGTCCCACCTGTAGTCAGTCTGCAGCCACACCACCCCAGCCTATCCCACACAGGGCGCGCTCTGCAGTCCCAGCTCTGGAACGCACACGTCCTTCCTACGAGAGCGGGGAGTCAGCTGCAGCTCTCACCTCAACGATGCCAGTCTCGTACTTGGTTTAGGGTAACCCGCTTCAGTATCTACTGACCTTCATCTCTACTAAGTATGCAGTGAGCACCCTGAATTGAGCAGGTCCAACATGGCTTCCCCTGCACCAAAGCCTGAAACTATGCCAGGTGCTCTTCTTTTCACAGTCCTCTCAAATACCTGACAAAACAGATCATGAGAGAGGACACTGGGACCAAGTGTCACACAATGACAGAGCTGGCACCCCAACTCCTGAGAACGGTCCCCCAGGTTTCCTGACAGCCACCTCCACCCCTGCTCAACTACCAGATCCTCTACTGAGACCACGCGCCCTGCATGTGGCAGGCCAACCACACAGGGGCGCTCTATCTGTAGGGAACCAAAAAGCCAAACACCAGATGCAGTCTGTACACTGTTGTTAAATCAAGCCTAAAGTCAGACGCAACCCTCTCAAACAAACACAACACCCCGGTGCTCTCCATAGGAAAGCACAAGTTAAAAATAAATCCTCTGTTGGCTGGCGCTGCGGCTCACTTGGCTAATCCTCCGCCTACGATGCTGGCACCCTGGGTTCTAGTCCTGGTTGCTCCTCTTCCAGGCCAGCTCTCTGCTGTGGCCCGGGAAGGCAGTGGAGGATGGCCCAAGTGCTTGGGCCCTGCACCCCATGGGAGACCAGGAGAAGCACCTGGCTCCTGGCTTCAGATCAGCGCAGCGGGCTGGCCGTAGCAGCCATTAGGGGAGTGAACCAACGGAAGGAAGACCTTTCTCTAACTCTGCCTCTCAAAAAAAAAATAAATAAATAAATCCTCTGTCAAGTATACTTTCTATAAAAGATTCAAGTAAGATTCCATGAAATAATCCTTGAGATTTAAGTGGCTCTAAACACCATGGAACACTGACGCATCTAGAAGTAGTCTCAGGGCCGGTGCAGTGGCATAGTGGGCTAAGCCTCTGCCTGCGCTGCTGGCATCCCATATGGGCGCTGGTTCAAGTCCTGCTCCACTTCCACTCCAACTCTGCTGTGGCCTGGGAAAGCAGTGGAAGACGGCTCAAGTCCTTGGGCCCCTGCACCTGTGTGGGAGACCTGAAAGAGACTCCAGGCTCCTAGCTTCGGATCAGCACAGCTCCGAGCCAGTTGGGGAGTGAACCAGTGGATGGAAGACCTCTCTGCCTCTCCTTCTCTGTATAACTCTGACTTTCGAATAAATAAATAAATATATCTTAAAAAAAAAAAAAAAAAGTTGTCTCCACTGATGAAGGGAGAAAGCCACGCTTTCTCACAGACAACCAAAGCAGAACTGGCTAGGTGCAGTAATTCCATCAGTATGACATAAGCAGTATTTCTAACACTGGCCAAATATTGAAAACACATACCACTCCTTAGAGTATTTTATGATCCAGGTACCTACACAGGAAGCAAGTTATCATAATTGTGACTGTCAACACTGACCGTTGAGGGACAGGTGTTTGGCCCAGAGTTAAGATGCCCACATCCTATTACCGGAGTGCCTGCGTTTCAATCTGCTGACTCCAGCTTCCGGCTAGTGTGCGTCCGGGAAGGCAGGGATGACGGCTCCCTACCACCCACACGGGAGACCTGGACTCAGTCCCTGGCTTCTGGCTTGGGCCTGGTCAAGCCCTGGCCATTGTAGGCAATTGGGGAGTGAACCAGCAGATGGGAGCTCTCTCAGAACAGTAATAACAATAAGTTGATACTTTCAATTCATTTATCCTCATTTCAATTTCCATTGCCTACTGTCCCCTTGAAGCACAGAGGTTCTACAGTATCAGAAGGCCAAAGCACGGTACTTACCACATTAAAGTTGATATCAGCAGACCGACGCCTACACAATCTATGAATACAACCCACAGGAGAAGCTTTATTGTCTCAAAAAATCCCATGTCCAGGACAAAGCCAAATCCTATAGTGGAAACTGAAAGAAAGAGTTACAACATACATTCGGGCACTCTGCTCGGGTTCTGGTGGTACAGGACACCTTCCCTGCCCTCCAGGGACCCAGGGCCTAGCAGGGGGGTGGACACATGGAAACCAAACTCCCGCGACATGTGACTCATGGAGCAAGGCACGGCAGCTGGAAGGTGCCACGGCAGTGAGGCACGTGACCTTCACGGAGGCCCCTCGCGGGCAGTTCCCAACGCTAGCCCTGGCATTTACAACAGCACAGAGAAGGCCCTCCCCTATCTCAGGTCCAGCTACAGGTGAAAACCTGCACACAGCGGCATCTCACGCTGCAACACCCTGCAGGTGAAAGGGGCCCTTTCGTTACACTACTGGGAAAGTTCAAAGTAGTCCTCAAGTTCGCAGTACTTTAAGAGCTCTCAGTCTGGATGTGCCTGTTTGTGAAATACACTTTCCAAGCTCAGCATTCCGTGTCACTGGCATTTGGGAACTGATTCACAGTAGTTAAAAGACATGGAGTGGGCCGGCACTGTGGTGCAGGTTAAACCAAGCCCTACGACGCCAGCATCCCATGTGCACATCCGTTTGAGTCCCAGATATTCCACTTCCAATCCAGCTCCCTGCTACTGCGCCTGCAAAAGCAGCGGAAGATGGCCCAAGTGCTTGGGCCCCTGTGACTCACGTGGGGGACCCGGATAAAGTTCTAGGCTCCTGGCTTTGGCCTGCCCCAGCCCCAGCCACTGCAGGCATTTGCATGAACGAGTGGATGGCAGGTTTCTCTCTTTCAAATAAATAAATCTTTAACAAGAAAACTCAAGGGACTTGTGCCGTGGCACACTGGGTTAAAGCCACAGCCTGCAGTGCCAGCACCCCATACGGGCACCAGTTCAAGTCCTGGAGGCTCCATGTCCAACCCAACTCCCTGCTAATGCGCCTGGGAAAGCAGCGGAGGATGGCCCAAGACCTTGGGCCCCTGCACCTGCGTGGGAGACCCGTATAAAGTTCCAGGAGCCTGGCTTTGGCCTGGCCCAGCCCTGGCCATTGAGGGAGTAAGCCAGAAGATGGAAGCTCGCTCGCTCTCCCCCTTCCAACTCTTCCTTTCAAATGCATGGATTTTAAAACCCTGTCCCCGGCTTATCAAAGTGCCAAGATAAGTGTCCTGTGGCTGGGCTTGGGACCTGCCGCACCTGACGGAATACAAGTCTGCTCTCCTGGGAGATTTCTGCAGCTTCAGAAGCAGGGACCAGCATCCAAGGGCCCCAGATTCTCAGCACGTGTGTAACACGAGAGCCTGCAGACGCCCAGCCTACCCTGAGGCCTCCCTACGCCCGTCACCTGTACTGCACACACAGCACTTACCGCAGAGCCAGACACTCAACAGGACCAAGAAAGCTGGGTCATCTCTGGCCCACTGGTCCTTCGTCTGCTTCCGGTAGTGGAAGTTTCTATAAACCCTCTGCGGGGACGTGAACAAGTAGAGCATCTGCCAGGCGGCAAACTCGAAGTCCATCTGCCGGAAACGGAAAAGCCGGCGCAGGTACTTGTAGCGCTTTGCTCCAGCCGTGTGTCTCGCTGCATCCCGGGAACTCAGGACCCCGTTCCCGTGCGCGGACGCATGCACGGAAGTACTGGGTAACATCTTCCTACGTGGAAGACAAGAGTTTTACTTGGGCAACAGCTCAAGAAGCGTCTGGCCGCCAGCACCTCCCTTCTCAGTTACCGACCTGCAAGACGTGTCACACACCCCACCCCCAACCTTCCAGAAGGGTCAGGGGGTCACAAGCTACTGCCGCGGGCTCTGAGGCTTGCCCTGGGGCCACAGCAGTGTCCACTGCACTTGCACTGCAGGCAGGTGCAACACTACGACCCGCAAAACTTCCCCGGCAACACCTCTCCGGGATCCCCGCGTTTCATCCGCTCGTCTCACTTAATCCTTGGAAGCCCCCGTCCAGGCAGCTACTGTTAGCTGCAGGAGTGGAAACGGAGGCGCCCAGCCAGGGAGGAAGCCAAAGCCGGACCCCGGCTCAAAATTCCGTGCTCTAAACCACGGGCCCTCAAGGAAACACCTCTGACTAAGCCGCCGCGAAGGCAGTGTTGCCAAACAGGCAAGCCGCTCCCTACGCAGGTGCATCCGCCTATAGCGAGCTCCCTGTTCGTGAGAACGTGATCAAAGCAAAGCAGAGCTCCATCCCCATGGGCTTCGCGCTCAGAACGGCTCAGCAGAACAAACAGCAGCGGGGAGTCGAGTCCTGGCCAAGCAGCCCGAAGCCCGGTCGGTGAGCGCAGGCCGGCGCCTGGCCACCACGCCCAGCAATCCCTGTATCCCACTCCACCTCGCAGGCTTCCGGGACGCAGCGGCACCTCGCCGGGCCCAGCAGCTGCTCCCCATCAGCGCGAGGCCCCCGGCACCCCTCCCAGCTTCAGCAAATAAGCACGCAGAGCGCCCAGCTACAGGGAACTTTCAGACAAGCAGTAAGTGACGACCGAGTATAAGCCCCCACGCCACATTCCAGACACGCTTAGACTAAACATCATTCCTTTATCTGCCATTCCTATGTAACTGGGCGTCTGCAGTTTCGTATGACAACTCGACTGCGGCCAGAGAGGCCGGACGCAGGCGTGGTCACCCGCCCGGCCGCGAGCTGCCGGAAGCAACGCTCCCCCCACGCCCCGGCCCGAGCCCGAGGCGCGCGTGGAAGGACTGGTCCTCAGGCCTCACCTGGAGCCCTGCGGCGGCCTCCGCCCAGGTCCGGGCTAGCCCCTTCCCTCCGCCCAGAAGCCGAGCCCAGGAAGGGCCCACTTCCCTTTCAGCAACGTAGACGGCGCCCGGGGCGCGTCGCACTGACGTATCGTGCGCACAGCACACTTCCGTCGCACACGCGCGCACGGCACCCTGGGCTTTGTAGTTCCTCGGACGGACCGCCGCAAGCCTTCCGGAAGTTGTTACGATCAACTTCCGGTTCCTTCCACCGCGAGCATCGCGGGCCCCCGCCGGGTGGTATCCTTTGCGGACGGAGACGGGAGCGGCCGCGGCGGGGCGGGGGACGTCGGAATGCCTCGGTATTACGAGGACAAGCCGGAGGGCGCTGCGTGCGCCGGCGTGAAGGAGGACCTGGGCGCCTGTCTGCTGCAGTCGGACTGTGTGCTCCAGGTAGCGCGGCGGGGCGCTGCGGGTGGCGACCCCTCCTGCCGCCGGTGGCCGGGCCCGGCGGAGGTCTCCAGGTGGACCGCGGGGCCGCCAGGAGCCGGGAGCTGGTTGTCCTCGGCGTAGGTCGCAGCCCCAGCTTAGTGAATGTGGGCAGAGGCCCAGGGAGTCACGTTTGCCCTGTTGACTCTTGACCTCGGGAGGCCAAAAGCTCGGGGCGTATTAGGATGTAGGTTCCAGCGCATGTTACGGAGCCCCCGAGTAACAGTGGCTTCGACAGGAACAAGAGCTCTCCCTGGCTCTTGTGTGTATAGGGCCGCTTGCCTCCGGCTTCCTTGGGTCCAGACACCGCTGGCCCTGTGACGGGAAACGGGGTGGTGCTCTCATGACTCTTGGCCACAGCTCGGGCTGGCCAGGCGACACGGAGTTAAGTGGGGAAAGGGGCGAACCTCTCGAGGGTTACAGCTGCTTCCCACGATTCCATTGGCTGGAAGCTAGTCACATGATCACACACAGCCGCGGGATTGGCTGGGGAGGTAGCCCTCCGAAGGCTTGATAAAAAGGAAGCCTGAGTATCGGGATACCCAGCAGTGGCTCCTTGCGCCAGAGGGTGGGTGATGGGTTAGTTTCTCGCTTAGCTGTGGTCCGTCTAGACGGATGCTTCCACCAGGCAGTGGGCCGGGGCAGGGAGAGCCTGTGAAGGTTGCAGCCTAGACTAGGGCAGCACCAGCCCCTGTGTTAGTCTTTTCTGTTGTCGGCCTCCACACCGGTGATGTCCGCGCACATCCCAGCGGCAGAGGAACAGATAGGCACCAGCTCACGCGAGGGGAGTGTGGCTGGCACTTAGCGATAAAGGCCTGGGGTTTGCAGTGGCGGGGTCGGGGTCGCAGTCCGCCCACACTGAACATGTTCTGATTTTAGAGCACATGGTGCAGTTTTCAACCATAAGGAGACGAATATAACCCTTCCTGGATTTTTGTATTAACATTAAAAAAATACTATGGAAACCAGTGTTTTTCAAGAATTTAAGCACACCTTTAAAGTGCCGAAAAGTTATTTTATGATTTATTTGCTATTCTGTAAGCACCAGCCATCAACAGGAATAGAGAGCAATTTTTATGTGACTATTATCTCTTTTTGTCTTTGCTGTAACCTTAAAAAGAACTATTTTCAGAAAGAGTTATTTTGTACTTGGTGAGAACGTTTCCCAAGCATTGATGTTGTGTTGTGTGTCACAGGAAGGGAAGTCCCCCCGGCAGTGTTTGAAGGAAGGATACTGCAAGGCTTTGAAATACTCATTTTTTGAGTGTAAAAGATCAATGGTAAGTGAATTTATAGAATTAAACGGTAACAGGTGCATTAGCAGGGAGCTGGATCAGAAGTGGAGCAGCCAGGACTCGAACCGGTGCCCACATGGGATGCCGGCACTGCAGGCTGCAGTTTAACCTGCTGTGCCACAGCGTGGGCCCCAGATTACTGGCTTCTTGGAACCTCCCGCTGACTGCCTCACCGTCAGGCCTGCCCTTCGAGCAGTCTCGGCACATGGAACCCCTGCAGCTCCACTGCACAGGCCGCAGACACCAGGGACGGCGCAGCGTCAGTGGCGTGCGGGAGCTGGGGTCCTGTTAGAGACAGGGCCGTTGTGGTGAGGGTGGGCTGCAGCGTCAGAACCTGCTCCTCTCTCACAGGGTGAGCCGCTCACTGTTCTCTTTTGGATAGCCACGGGTACGGATTTTGGTTTGTATTTTAACATGGCTCTTAGCTACTTCGTCTAGAGCTCAGATAGAAAAAGAGGCTGCCTGCCCCACGCTGGCTGTGTTGGACTCATTGAGGGCCCATCCCCAAAATAGTTCTTTGTCGTAGAACTTACGGGACGTGACACTAACCTTCATGGGGCGATCCCGCCTTCGCTCAGACGGACTTCGGAGCCCGTGGCTCCACTACATCTCGAAGAAGCAGCCACGCCATGAGCTGATGGCAGAGAGCGTGCCCACAGCCTATGCCGGCCGCTCAGGCCACTCGGGCCAGGGAGTCTTCGAGTCAGTTACAGAAAAGGGGAGAGACAGAACGAGAGCAAGAGCGAGAGCTTGTCCATGCACTGGTTCACTTCTGGCTGCAGTGGCCAGGCTGGAGCCGGGAGCTTCTTCCAGGTCCACCATGTGGATGGCAAGGCCCAAGCCCTTGAGCCATCTTCTGCTGTCTTTCCTAGATCATTGGCAGGGAGCTGGATTGGAAGTGGAGCAGCCGGGACACGAACCTGTGCCCATATGGGATGCTGGCACTGCAGGCGGTGGATTTACCTGCTACGCCGCAGCACTGGCCCAGGCCAGGGATTCTTAACCCCGGGAGACACGTGCTGCTGAACTCTTGGAGGGGCCTTTCCCCTTTCTTAGCCACTGCCTATTTAAAGATTGCTAATCCATTGGAATGTTACAGGTTAGTTAGGAAGCTGAGTTTGCAAGACGAATGTATGTTGAGGATAGCTGAGAACAGAAGTGTGACTCGGATGCTGCTTCAGGGGGAAATCCTGAAGAGCGGCTTTGTGAACGCCATCTGTGTGTGTGACCTTGTTTTTCTTGGTGGCTCTGCCCGTTGCCTGTTTGATTTGCTGGACACTGGTTTCCCTCTCTCCTACGGTGCCGCCCCTCTCCAAGGCTGTCTTTCCTTCATTCTGCGGGGCTGAATTTGACTTCATTGTCCATTTATTTTCAGCTGGACGCCAGGTCAAGATTCAGAGGAAGAAAAGGATATTGACACCGTTCTGTTGAAACCAAGACGAAGACAGCAGGACTTTCCCTGATCCCTGGCAGACAGGGCCAAACAGGAGGCACAGCTTTTGCTGCATCTGTCGGTTAGCGAGGTCTGCCCTCCGTGCGCTGGGGAGAATGAATGAAAAGGTCTGTTTTCCAATATGTAGGAAGTGATTATTTTGATTAAGTTATTTTTAGGAGAATTTGATTGAAGAGTTACGAACTATGTGTTTTGCGTTTATTGTTCTAAGCAAGGAATGGAAAGACAGCTCTTTTCAAATCTGACCCTTACACATACAGCGTGTGAGGAGGAAGGCCACCGGTGTCACAGCCGGTCACACGGAGCCTGTGCAGTGTTGTTTGGGGAGTTTAGGGTGACACTTTTTTGTGTGTTCAATCTGTCCTTAGTTTGAAAATAAACTGGTTTTGATTTCTTGAAGCAGAAATGCCTAATTTGCACTCACTAACGTAGCCACCCCAGTGCTGCCAGCACGCTCGTGCTCCCGAGCGCCCGTCTTCAGCCCGGCCTGCTCCGCACGTGAGCAGCGTCAGCCCGTCGGGGAGTCCCGATCCCAGAGCAGGGCAGGAACTCCCGTGTGCCAGGGCACATTAATCCATCTTCAGAGGAACCCCGGCCTTCCCTGGACCAGCTGCCCTGCGCTGGGCCAGAGCTGCCAGGGAAAGGGACGGGGTCTGGGACCTTGGCCAGGCTCCCATCACACACCGGACCAGACACAGGACGGGCCACAGCCCCAGGGGACAGAGAGCCCTGGAGTACACTCGGACAGCAGCCGTTCACTGTGGAATGCGAGGGCAGAAACCATGATGTGGCTGAAGCTGTTTACAATGACAGTAATTCATCCCATTCTGATCACTTCACTGAGAGCCAAACAGGAGTCCAAGTTTCCGCTCTATTTCTCTGCATTTTAGGATAATGAAAAATCACTGCCTTTTTTTTTTTTTTTTTTTTTTTTTGAAGATTTATTTATTTGAAAGGCACAGTTACAGAGAGAGAGAAAGTGTTCCATGCACTGGTTCACTCCCCAATTGGCTGCAACGGCTGGAGCTGTGCTGATCTGAAGCCAGGAGCCAGGAGCTTCTTCCAGGTCTCCCACGTGGGTGCAGGGGCCCAAGGACTTGGACCATCTTCCACTGCTTTCCCAGGCCATAGCAGGGAGTTCAATTAGAAGAGGAGCAGCCGGGACTTGAACCGGCGCCCATATGGAATGCCGGCACTGTCGGTGGCAGCTTTGCCTGCTACACCACAGCACCGGCCCCCCACTGCTGCTCTGTACTTCCCAGCCTGCTGGAGTTCAAGCCTCCGAGGCAGCGCGTGGCTCGCTCGCTTTGTGAACGTTGCCCTGAAGCTGTGGGCACTGAGGCGCTGCTCCAGAGTAGCACCGACGTCTGACGCATGCGCTGCTTCGCACTGGGGAGGGAAGTGACTGTTGCACCCATGTAAGTGCTGGAACCTTTATCAAAGTCGCTTTGATAAGAAGCTCCTTAAAATATATTTTAATTTCATTTGAAATACTGAGAGGTCTTCCATCTGTTGATTTCCCAAATGCCCACGTCAGCCAGGGTTGCGCCAGGCTGCCGCCAGGGGCCCAGAACTCAGAGGCTCTCACATGGGTGGCAGGAACCCGGATAAGTGAGCCATCATCTGTGCACATCTGCAGGCAGCTGGATAGGCAGTGGAGTAGCCG